TTCTGTACCAGCTCAAGAAGTTAGGGGGCTTTCTTCGTGATCTAAGAGGGTGTCTGCACGAGCCAGCCCGAGTAAGTCCCGAACCTACCTAAAATTCCTCTCTCATTGGTTAGTATACATGCCCTTGCCCTCGAGCAAGGTTCTAAGAGAGCGATCTCAAATCCTGGGTTCACCAAAAATCCGTGACACGTGCCGCCATATCACCTAGATTCGGAGGGTGAGATCGAGGAACCTAACCAATGGCCTCTCTATCAATTAGATGTCAAAAATGATTTTTTCAATGGTGATCTTGATATGAAAGTATATATGAAGTTACCTCCTGGCATTGTGGATTCCAAAAAATGCATGTGCAAACTTCGACAGGCCTTATATGGACTCAAACAAGCACCTTGTGCTTGGTTTGAAAAACTTCGTAATGAAGTTCCTTTAGTCGGATTTCGACAAATTTATCCTGACCCCACTCTCTTTGTATCTGATACTTCTGAATGACGGGTTCTTTTATTATTATACGTGGACGACATGATTATCTCTAGTAATGATCTGGGCACAATTCATAAAATCAAACAAAAGCTCAGCAATACCTTTGAAATGAAAGATTTGGATTTCTTGCAGTATTTCCTTTGATTAGAAATTCCCTGTTCTCCTCATGGCTATCTGTTGTCACAGCTAAAATATGCTTCAGATAATGTTTCTCAAGCTTGACTCCAGAATGATACAAAGAAAGTTGATACGCCTCTTCAAGTCAATGTCAAATTTTGGGATATAGATGGAGAAGCTCTTCCTGATCCAACCTTTTATAGACAATTGGATGGGAAACTGATATAACTGATCATTTCACGTCCCGATATTACTTATGCAGTACATATGGTTAGTCAGTTTTTGAGTGCTCCACGTCCTGTACATCTTGCTACCATTTTGCATATCATTCGTTATATCAAGGATACCCGTTACCAAGCCTTATTCTTCTCCTCTTCTACCTCCCTTGAGCTCCGAGCATATACCGGCTCTGATTTTACAGGAAATTTGAGTGATCGTAAATCTACCACAGGATTCTGCATTTTTCTCGGTGATTCTCTTATCTCTTGGAAAAGCAAAAAACATAAACACATTGCTCAATCAACTATAGAAGCTGAATGTCGGGCTATGGCACAAACCACCACCGAGATTGTTTGGCTACGTTGGCTGCTCGCAGATATGGAGTCATTATCTCCACTCTTACTGTATTCTATAGATACACAATTGTACCCTCTCGATAAATACACAATTGTATTGTAATCTTATAAATCAATGGAAATACATAACAGTTATTTCTCACACTTTGCACCATCATGTGCTGGTCCTCCAAGAACACGAAGCTCGATACCTTGTGGCATGCTTACTGCAGCAACTTCTCACCCCGTCGCCCCCTCCCCCCTCCCCCCCCCCCCACCCAACCGGTGGCTCAGTCATAATACATGTAGGCATTCTCATCTTTATCATCCTCTCCATTATCATAAGGAGGTTGTTACAGTAAATGTATAATCAATGTATGCCATTCTTGGAGCAATGAAGCCTCCATTCTTTATTCAATCATTTGTAGATCATCATCTTCATCATCATTATAGTTTTTTTTCCAATTAATTGGGGATTCAATCATTTGTGGATCAGACCCGAAAACGATTTCCAAAGGTGTTTAGACACTTATAGAAAAAGAGCTCGAGCTTAATTGGTTAGCACTTGACGAATTGCAAGGCTACGTTCTAACCTCAATTCCTACAATTTGTAGGGGCCCTCTCCTTACTGACTCACCCAAAAAATAATAATAAATAAAAAAGTAAAAAAAAGACACTTGTAGAAATGTGTATGAGAGAGAGAGAGAAAGATCAAGCAAAAGCCGGTTGTGTAACCTTAATACTTTGACATTCTTCATGCACACGTCTACATAGAACCAGTTCAAACCAACCCTGGTCGAAGGGAAGTGGTCTAACCTTAACTCTGTTATCAACACGATTGATCTGTTTGGAGCATTTATGTGTCACAAAATGGGGATGATTAGTATGGCAGTTGGAGACGCGTCTTCTTTGTAAGATATGCTTATTCCTTGTTTTTCCACGACATGATTAGATGGATTCAACCCAATTTGAACAGATATTGGAAGTGCAGAATCCTACATAAAGTCTAGGCCTTCATATGGACTACGATGCAAGGTACAGCTCCCACCATTGACAATCTTAGAAAGAGACTTAAGCTTATAATTAATGTTTGTATTTTTTTGTAAAAATGATGACAATGGAGATCATTTGCTTCTCCGTTGCCTCTCTCTTATCATATATAGTGCTGGCAATGCAAAAGGTAGGAGTTTACTTTGCTCTTCCATCTACCCATAGAGATATTTTGGAGCAATGCAAGATTGGTTGCACGCCGAAGGTAGTAGGGGTGATTTGGGATATATTTTGTGCGGCCATTATTTGGAACTGTGGTTTGAGAGGATTAGTAGACTTTTTTTTTTTTTGGAAATAATTAGTTATGCAAGGATTATAGAAGAGAATTCTTTATAAGTTGTGGAGGTCGTTTAATATCACTAAGGAAGGAGGAAGTGTATCAATGGCGGATATTGAGTTGAATTTAAACAATCTTATTTTATGAGGTAGATTAGACCGAGTGGATATTGAGTTGAGTTAAAAAAATCTTAAATTTTATGTGGTACATCGAGGTTAGACCGAGATGTAGACGGGTACCACCCATTGAAGGCTACTGTAAATTAAATTTTTGATGGCTCATATTTAAGAAATCTAGGTAGGTCTGTTGTTGGTGGTGTTTGTTAAGATAGTAGGGACAATATCCTTTACTCTAGCTCCTGTGGAGAAGTCTCAGCTAATCATATGTTGAAATTGCGGCGTTATTGCGAGGAATGCTTAAATGGAAGGAGAGGCAATTGGGCAATGCCTTAATAGTTGAAGGGAACAAATTGAATGTTGTGCAAGGAGTCTAGGCCGCCATGGATGTTTCGTGCACCGTGGTTGGCGACTTTCCAATATATTTATTGGGAAGCTACTGTCATTGCAAATGGTTTGGCAAAAAAAGTGTTGTTTTTAATTCCTTAATTGTATCTTTTTTACTTCTTTTATTATTGAGACGTAATGTACTAATTAATCAATAAAAGTTAGTACCTAAAAAAAAAAAACCCACTAGAAGGTTTCTCATGAGATAAAATTATTTTGTTCGGAGTCATCATTCGGATAACGGCAAAAGGGAGAGGAGAAGACCTCTCTCTCTCTCTCTCTCTCTAGAAGAATACGTGTGGATACGATGGAGGCGTGGTGCCGCGTTCAGGTGCATCTGCGAAATATTGAGAAGTTTGAAGCCCAGAATGTGAACGAGGCGCCGCGTCGGAGGTCATCTTTGAAATATCGAAAGAGAAAACGTGAACGAGGCGCCCCGTCTGAGGTCATCTTTCAAATATCGGGAGCGAAAACGCGAACGAGGCGCCGCGTCATCCCCTGATCTTATTTTTCCGTTTCATTGAATTTATCCAAACTTTCGGCAGGCTAAACAACTTCGCCAGGCTTTCAGGCATTCTAAATCAATCAACTAACGACTTTTCCTTGTAAAATCTCAAACCTATTGATTGTTATCTTTTTGAAGAGCAAACAATCAACCTCATTGAATAATTTTTTTGTTTAATAAAAACGCTAATTTATCAAAATACCTATAAGAGATAAACAATTTAACCGTTTATCTATATTGTTTGATTTTGAAATATTTACCATGCGTAAAATTTTAAATAATACATATTTTATGGGTAGTTTATTAAGTTTCTCTTAATAAAATTCTTTCAAAGAAATTTCACAGTTAATTTTCTTAATTATCACTAGAGTATGCCAAGTCTATCAGCCAACGTATCATCTCCCATCTCTTAAAAGAGAAGAAGATAAACATTTCATATTTTTAAATTTATATCATAATATATGAATTGAAATAGAAAAGTTTATATAAAGTGTAATTATATAGTAGAATTAAGTGTATCTTATAACACAAGAAATTTCACAGTTAATTTTCTTAATTATCACTAGAGTATGCCAAGTATATCAGCCAACGTATCATCTCCCATCTCTTAAAAGAGAAGAAGATAAACATTTCATATTTTTAAATTTATATCATAACATATGAATTGAAATAGAAAAGTTTATATAAGGTGTAATCATATAGTAGAATTAAGTGTATCTTATAACACATTATCTAGACCACTTACTTTCAAAAAAATTAAGTATTTATAGATCTACTCGATCTACATTATTTTTAGATCTTTAAATATCATAAAATAGGGGGAATAAATTTTTAAACTATTGTAAAGGTTTCCATAATCACAAATTCATCTTTCAACAAGATTTAAAGTTGCATCTTATAATTATTATTATTATTTAGAGGTGCAACAATAAACTTGTCCATCCAATGACATGTACAACTTTGAATATATTATTATTATTCTTATTATTATTATTATTCTTATTATTATTATTATTATTATTATTATTATTATTATTATTATTATTATTATTATTGTTATTATTATTATTATTATTATTATTATTATTGTTATTGTTATTATTGTTGTTATTATTATTATTATTATTATTATTAATAAGCATTCAAAAGGAGTGTGTAAGTGATATTCAATCCAACCTTATCCGATTCGTCAATCGTCGATTGAATTGAACTAAATTAAAGTAATGGGGGTAGGGGAGAGAGAGACGTGGCGCGCCGTTTCCTACCTTATCTTCTGCATTTTGCAATAGAAGAAAGAAAGAGTCCCTAAAAGTTAATTTTGCATGATTCTTACGAGGCATTAAGTTTTCAATTCTTCAACGGCTAAATATTTCGTTCTTATAATTACAAGTAATTGTAATTAAATGATATTTACCCATAAAGGAATTGGGTAGTGTCTAGGAATATCCTCTTCATTTAAAAATGAAAATAAAATTTGAAGTAACATTTATCGACACTATTTTAAGGTGTGCTTTCTCCTCCACCCTATTTGAAGGTGCGCTTTACTCTGATTGTCTGTACAAATCGACCCATATACATTTGGTTGCATAGGCACTTTTGGGATCAAATAAAACTCCAAACAAAAAAAAAAACAGAAATACACTCTCTGACACTCTGTGTGAGAATAAATCAGTGTTAAAAAAAGCACAAAGCAAGCTTCATCTCTTCCTCCTCTCTCTCTTTCTCTCTCTAAAAAGATGGTAGGGTGGTGGTGATGGTGCGGAGGAAGGTGAGTCTTTGGAGATCAAAGTTATGCTTTCGCATAAGAGCCCTTCGCCGAGCATTGAACCTGAAAGAGAACAACCCCTCCATGGAAGGCTCCTGTGAAGTGGCCATGAACAAAGCATAGGCCCCTAAACCATATAGAGAGGTCAGATAAAAGCAAATTGGTTCCATCAAATCCCATGAAAGCTCCCAAAATGTGAGCCTAAAGAGCCCCAAGCTCTGAACCACAACCACCCCAAGCCCAAACCAGAGGTCCCTCTTTGTGAGCTTCTTGGCCCGCCCCTCGATCTCCCTCAATTCACTCTCTAACCTCTCCAGATCTTTTCTCTCCTCTGATCTCATTGCCTCTCTCATCAGCCACTCTTCCATCTGCAACATATAAACCACGGGATTATTAGGGCTTTAACAGTTTGGGGGCATGCATGATAACTACTCCCCATTACTCAGATTTGAATCCCATCTCATAAAACATGGTAGAGGGAGAAAAACCACATATTTAGAGAGAGAGAGCTATGACAGGACCTGTTGTTGGATCTGCTCTGGGTGGAGAAAGACTGTGTTGCCTACTATAAGAACAGTACCAAACTCATCTAGAGACTCAATAAGGTGGTCAATACCATGCTTTTGGGATGATGGGTGGTGGTGTTTTTTGCAGAGATCAATGAAATCATTGTAAGAGAGAGTATTTTCGGGACGATCCTTGAGTTTCTTCCTCAAGGACTCCAAAATGAGACCCTCTTCTTCCTCTGTGTTCTTCCTCACACCCATTCCTATTTGTTCAATGACATGAGGCAGAGAATAAGGGGGTAATAATGGGAGGAGGCTATCTTTGATGGAACCTCTCATCTTTTGCCTCCAAGAATCTCCTCCTAGTGGTAGAGGTAGAGAGAGCGAGGAGTTTTTGTTGGTGTGTGGAAGGTGCACTGAATGATGCCTCTGCTGCAAAAGGCATAGAGGTGAATGGGAGTGAGATTGGGGTTGTTTCTCTCTCTTCAAGGAATGGAAGAAGAGGTTATAGGAGGAGACTCCTCTGCCTCTGAGGAAGCGGAGAGCAGACATGGATGATAGAGAAAACGAGAGCTTTAATCCAAGGGGTAGAGAGAAAAAGGAAGAGAGATTTGGAGTGGTGGATAACTTACATATTTATATGGTGAGAGGAGAGGGAAAAGGAAATGTAGAAGAAAGGTTGGTTGTTGCAATAGGGTGGGAATATATGCGCGTGTAATTTAATGTGGTGTCTCCTTGTCACCACCAATCTTATATACGGGTCGCAATTGACGGGTATGGCTGGATCCAAACCCAAGTAGTATTTGGGTCCAAGTTTTGGATCCAAACCCAAACCATCGGGTCCAAAAATTAGATCCATACCCATACCCGTCGGTTGGGGTCCAATCGGGTCCATTGCCACCTTATGATTATGAGTTTTTTTTTTTTTTCGTTTTGTTTTACCATTATATATTCATTATTGACAACAATGTCACAATCACCTGTCATTAGATTTCAAGTCGTTTGATTTGTCTTTTAATAACTAAATATGATTACGAGTTCTTATTGTATATAATCCTTAATACATCAAAATGAACTTTGTGTAAATAGGTATGGATCGTGTACAGATCCGGTCCGAGTCCAAAACTCGAATAGTGTTCAAGGCCCAAAGAGGCACCCTCCTATCAATCAGTTCATAGAAAAGGACAATTACAATGCTCTACAAGGGTGGTAAGTGTCCAAGCAATGCTCTATGTATAAATTATAATTGTAATAGAAAAGGACAATTACAATGCTCTACAAGGGTGGTAAGTGTCCAAGCAATGCTCTATGTATAAATTATAATTGTATTCAACAAAGGTATATAAGTATCTAAAATTTGTTAAGTACAATTATAAAATACTCTATAGTACGAGCACTATAATATAACCCTATATATATTGGAAAAGTGTAAATAGAGCCATGGCTCTAAACCATCATTGGAGCCTAACTCAAAAATTTCACTAGAAGAGGTTGTTTTGATGCCCAAATATCCTCAAATTGATCATCTCGATATCAAGATCCATGGACATGAGAAAAAAATGGATTTCAAATTTTAGAAATAGTATATTTTGTAACGCATTTTTGGACCGTCGATTTTCATGATTTTTAAGTTTTCATAGATCTGTCGAACTACACTATTTTTGAAGCTTTAAACTTTACAAATAAAGATGAAAATAAATTTTAAGGCTATCACAAAGATTTCCAATATTGAAACCACATTTCTCGACACTATTTGAAGGTAAGCTCTAATTTGATGTTTAGATCCTAGGTTCTTTACAAACCGCATCCTATATATATAGGGAAAAGTTGAGATTAGCCCACTAGCTCATATGAACATGTAAGCTCAACGACCCAGATTGAATCTGGACTGATCTGATGATCACGGATGTCTAGTAGTATTTAAATTTTATTTGTTTTTCTACATATCCAAATCACTTGAAATTTTAGTTGTATGTTCTTCTCAGAAAGACGCACCTAATAAAAATATAAAAAAAAATTATTTGCTAAGAAATAAATGACCAAAATACCCCTAAAACTTTTCAGGGGTATTTTGATCAATTTATTTCATGTAAAATATTTTTTTGATATTTTTCTAAGATTCAACTATTTTTTATCAACACAAGTCTAAAATTTCAAATGATTTAAATTTTTAAAAAAAAAACTAAAATTCAAACATTATCAGATATCCGTGATTGTCAGATTGGCCCAGAATCATTCTAAGACATTAAGCTCATATGTTCATATGAGCTGGTGGGTTAATCCCATCTTTTCCTACACACACACACATGCACACACACACACACTTGCGCACACACACACACATACACACACACACACACACATA